GGCTCCCGTGTGACTACAGACCAGCCAGAGTGTGCGTCAGCAGTATCGAAACCATAGCGACCGCAAAGTCCGTGGCATTGTTCAGTTACCAGCAGATTGATAGACAGACGGTAAGATGATAGCCATTGCTTGTTAATCGACCTGCGTGCGGATACCTTCATTGGTGTGCATCATGTGCGAGCAAACATTTTCTAGAAAACAATATTGCTGTCTTGAGATCATGCACCTAGTGGTGCAGAATGTGGCTTTTGTATGCAAAAGTGTACTCTCAGCTGTCACATATTATGACACATGACAAACTTTCCCACATGCGCATGCACCATTCCCAAATCTCAACACCTCCACAATCCCTCGATCCAACACACCCTCACAAGTCCCTCGACTACGCTCGTCTCGTCGGGCGGCGCTCACCTGATCAGTGACCTTCCCAGGTGTTGGGCTGGTCGCTGGCGGGGTCAGCCGGGTCGGCCAGGCGGGGGCGGCCGGCGCCCGGGCCCGTGACTGGCGCGCGTCCGCGCCGCGCCCGCTGCCAGCGGCTGCCGGCGCTGCCTGCCGCCGAACGGGGCCACCGCCGACCGATCACTGCACGCCACTGCAGGCCGACCGGTCCGGCCGGCCGGCGGCCGCCGCACGGCACGGACCGGGCAGCGGGGGCTGGACACTGCAGGGCGGTCAGGGCAGCCGGCCGCCACACGACACGGACCGGGCAGCGGGGGCTGGACACTGCAGGGCGGTCAGGGCAGCCGGCCGCCACAAGGCACGGACCGGGCAGCAGGGGCTGGACACTGCAGGGCGGTCAGGGCAGCCGGCGGCCACACGGCACGGACCGGGCAGCGGGGGCTGGACACTGCAGGGCGGTCAGGGCAGCCGGCCGCCACAAGGCACGGACCGGACAACAGGAGCTGGACACTACAGGGCGGTCAGAACAGCCGGCGGCCACACGGCACGGACCGGGCAGCAGGGGCTGGACACTACAGACCAGTCAGGGCATCCAGCTGACAGGCTCCATAGGCTGGTCACACCGTAAGGGGGACTGGTTACTTCAGACCGGGAAAACCGGCCGGCCGTCGCGCGGCACAGACCGGGCAGAGTAGTCGGGACACTAAGAACCGGAAAGGTGTTCTCTGCACTACAGTCCAGAGACGGAAGCAGGACACTGGATGAGTCAAGACAGACTGTGAGCTTTCTGCAGGCCGGTCAAGAATATCATGATTTTGCTCATCGGCCCATGTGACTGCTTTGATCATTACTGGCGCATCTTATGCAGCCTGTAGACAACGGGCACTGAAATATTAATGGAATCTGTGGGGTTTCAAACTAGAGTTCGGAAGCGAAGACCATTCCACCGTTATGCCATTTGTGACGCAAATCAAAGCCAGAGGGCCGACACTATACGACCATCCCGCTGACTCCATGAGCTGGTAGCGTCGCCACGTCATCAATGGAGTAGAGCCAGTGGCAGTTATTCGTGACAGGAATAAAACCCGTCGTTCTTCATATGGGTGCCCGAGTAGTCATAATCCTAGGACGCTCATGCCCCCACTTGAAGTAAATATTGAGCACACAACCATCAGCTCTCTAAATCACATGCTCGCTGGCGCTGCTCCTGCGTACCAATGCCGCAGTTTGGTATTTGGAAACATTCAAATGTAATATAACTCAGCAATAACATTCTTTTTCTTTTCGTTTTTGCACTGACTTGAAGCATGATGTCGACAAGGGCAGGTCAATTTCGAATCAACTTTTTTATTTCGTTGACAACAGTGATGTGTGCGGAAATGTAAATTATGAACACTGCGCCAGAATGCGGGTAGATTGTGGAGTTCGCTGGACAAAGAACGCAGTGTCCGTCTTTTATTGTTGGCTTAGCGTTGAGCCAAACTCGGCTGTGCCTTTGGGTCGCTGGTCTTTCGCTGCTCATATTATGACCGGATCCGTCTTGAAAAATGCTCGGCAACAATGGCATCGTTGAAAAAATCGAGCACAACACGCAATTTGCTTTCATGACAACCCTGAATCGCCTCGTGCAGACCGTATGCCAATCATCCGCACCAGCAACTGCTGTGCCGCTTCGCGTGTGAGAAGCTGCAGATGTGAACCCAAAGCACAAAGCATGTCAGCTGGTGACGTCACGCAAGTCAGCGTTGGGAAAATTTCCCCCAGACAGCACACCGAGCACCTCCCCTTATGATTGATTCCGGGGGTCTGGCGGGAGTTGGCTCCTTCTCAGAAATCTGGTAACCAGCAGGAGGCCTTATGGTCACTCATGGGATTGTCAACCCATGCCAATGTCAGACGGAAAATTTGCTGCGGCGGTATCAAAGTTATCTGCATCAAGGCTCCAGATAAAGTGCTTTCGAAAGCAGGATTCCCCATGGTGTGCAGTCGTCACCATATTACACTTGCAACGAAATTAACAGGCGTCTGCGGCTTGAATTTCATAGCACTAATATTCTTGCTTACGCTGCCGCAGTGCACTCCTAAAAATGTTTTGCATCGGGTTCTCCGGCTTTGTTCCTCAGTTATGCGATGCAACGGACCTTAAGACCTTAAGCTATTCCTTCCTTGAGAGGATGTCACACGGGATATCCGTTAACATCCATTTCGAGAGCCGCGTTAGCAGTCTAAGTGTTATTATGTGAGAGTTTATTCGCTAATTTTTGGGCGGATCCGCTTCGTTACTGAGAAGCAAAGCGAGCAGCTGTGAACCAGCCATGGCCAACTCGCGCTAGCAAAGCTAACACTGATTACATGTGGGAACTCGGCATCATAAAAATTACGGAACTTAGCCGGCGTCCGCCTCCCGAGTGCCCAGTCGGCGCCCGGAGCCTCGCACCCGGTCGGGCCCGCCGGCGGCGGCAGCCGCTGCGAACTCGAGCAGCGGGTCGCTGGGCGTCGGCAGCTGGAACGGCCCCGAGTCACGCCACCGGCCCGCCGCCGCGTGCCGGGCGCCGGCCGGCGAGCCGCGACCGACGGCCTGCCTCCACGAACGCGGCCCGCACACTCGGCACGACGGCGCGCAGCGGGCCCTGACGCCACTCTCGCCGCCGGCACGCGCCCGGGAGGAGCTCAACCATCGCTGTTCGCGCTCACCCGGACCGTGTGTCGTCCATGGGCGCCTGCTACCGGATCGTAAGGTCCGGTCCGTCACGCGAGGTCGCTTCCCCTCCCGGCGGCACCAGATGGTGTTCGGTGGAGTCTCGCCCGCCCCCTCCATTACCTTCTGCGGTCACCTCCTCCGGGACGACCTCGAGCGGCGATCGAGCGGGGACCCTCGAGCGGCGGTCCGATGGCCAATGGCAAACCAGTCTCACGCTGCCCCCTCCCCCTACCTCACAAGAGAGGAATAGGTGTGCCACTGCCGAGTCAACATCGAGTGGTTCATTATCGAGAGAGAGAGAGAGAGGGAGAAAGAAAGAGAGGGAGAGAGAGAGAGGGGGGAGGGAGGGCGAGAGAGAGAGAGGGAGAGAGGAGGGAGAGGGAGAGAGGAAGGGAAAGAGGGGTGAGAACAACAACAGAGCCCGCTCTCTTTGCCCGGGCGAGAGACCGTTGACGCCGTATTACCCCAGCAGCTGAGTGCGCCGTAAAGCCCAAATGACGACATCGAGAGGGAGAGTCGACGGTGACTCGCCTCCTATTTGTCGCACGGACTCATCCGGATTTTGGACGTGGACGTGGAGAGGCGGACGGAGGATTCGCGGCGGGCATCACATCGAGCTATGTTTGGCAACTGGCTGTAAACCCGACGCTCGCAGCCATGTCTGAATGAAGCGTCACTAAACAGCCAACAAATAAACTCAGATTGTCACAGATAACATCAGTCGGAGGCGCAAGTGACAAGTTGCTTCAAATTGATAACGCCGACGCCTGTCAATTGCGTGTGCTCAGATTTGTCCGTAAGCTGAGTTGTTGGCATGCCGGGTGGGCCCAAATCCTTATGTTAATAATTCGACATTCCGGTCATTACAGTCCATTACGTGGAATCAGATAAGGCATTTATTTGACTGCTAGTCCGACTGCTAGCCTGTGCAGTAGTCTAAATGCAGCGTTTTTACAATTCTACGTCAAATATTAAGTACTTACGTGAAACTCAAGGCACTATGTGGCTTGCGGCACTTTTTGGCGAATGTTCAGGCGTATCGAAGGCTTCCGTTGCATGCATCACTTGCGAAAGCTGTGCTTGGAGGCAAACCCTGATCAGCACGGGAGTATACACATGTAGTATGTAGCGTACCGTGGGAATTACTGCGAGCGACGACACGAGACATGGAGAACAATGAGCTGAAAGGCCCGGAATCTGAGACTTCATCAGCTGTCAGCAATCTGATCTCGGACGTCGGCAGCCCAGGCGTGACGACGACGCCTCTCAATCCCGGCTTTATTCTCTGTGTGATGGCACGGCCATCCATCTGAGTCTTCCATAGATCTATCATCCTTTTTCCCGATTGATGATACGCAATCTTGCATCTGACTGTGCTCATTTTTTAACTACATATGAGATGCTGAACAATTGAAACGCAGCCCAACTTAAGAGGCACTGATATGCATTTTAGCTGCAGCTACGACAAATGGTTGATTAACCATGCATGCATAATCATATGCTAAGTTATGCACTGCCTGCCTGCCTGTGTATTTCCCGCAGAAAAGTGCTACTTCCAAACCAGCACGACACAACTCGGCTTTATCCACTCACTCCCATGCTAAGATGAATTGTCATGAAATGTGAACGGGACCTCTCGGTCGGCCCGTTTTAAACCACGCGCTGGTGGCATGGCGCCTCACGCACCCAAATCCTCGGGCCACGTGACCAGCGTGCCATTCGCTACATTGCAAAGCTACTCCGCTGCCGGTGTGCTGATGTCGAAAGCACCGACCGCAAGCATTTGCGGCAGCGGGTCAGCGTGCCCGGCCACCGCGGCCGGTCCACATTGCCACACCCAGCGGGCGCCCAATGGAGCGGGCGTGCTCCCGGCGCGGCGGAACGTGAGACACACACGAGCCGCGTTCCCATCGTCTGTATATTCACCAGCACTGCCCTGCAGCACACGGCTTTGGCCAGCGGCACGCACAGCTATGTACACACATGCACAGCGGCTCAGGTCCGTTGTCGGGGACCGCACGCCTCGGACCCGACGGACCAGCGGGGACGCTCTGGTCCGGCGGGCTGGCAGCTCGGCGGAGAGCGGTGGCCAGGCGGCTCGCTGGGGCCCGGCTCCCGTTCCTCTGCGGCTGTCGGGTCGAGAGGAGGCGGCGCGCCCGCATAGGGGTCACCTCTGTGGACCCCGTGCGACGACCGGCCGAGAGACACACGTCTGGAAGCGAGCGCCGACGGGATGAGTACGGCCGTGGGGGCGTTGGAAAGGTTACCTCACGATTAAGCGCCAATGCAATTGTAGGACGTCCACTCTACGAAAGCAGATGTCTGAGATGCAGCTAGAGAACTGTAGACATCACATTTGCCATGAAAGATTGGGTAGAGTACATTGGTCTGACATTGCATGGTGAAAATTTGCAATGGGTGTTCGTGATTGTGATGCCTCATCGCCGTGTCGTAAATTGGCATCACATAAAATCGCGGGGCATTTAAACTTTGCGACGATGTGCAGTGAGAAACATCACGAGCACTGGAAAACTCACCTTCTGGTCAGGTGCCTCTAATGCTGAAGTCATCTCCTCCGGTTCCGGTCGCGCCAGTTCAGTTCTCAACACAGTCCAGGTCATCGCACGACATGGACTTCGTTGACCTGGAACAAGGCAGAGCCGTGAGCTTCGATGTCTACATGTGTAGCATGACAGGACACCACCAGTAACATCGTAATTATGCACGAAAACAGCCGCGCCTTTACATCTCGTGAGTGGCCGTACAAGAACATGTGGGATGAAGGAAATGGCCCCTACTCGGTGTAGCTTTCCACGATTAACATGATAATTAGCGCTCCCCTTCGAGAGAACTGCACAGTGTAATGACGTCATCGCGTCATCATCGCCAGGTTGCTCCGTCCAGCACGGCGAGAGTCGGACCGCGACTGCCGCATGACGTTAGCAACGCGGGATTGGGGCCCGGGTGTCAACACGCGTCTAAGCACTCTACTAGACCGTCGTCCGGGGAAAGCAACATGAATGGGTAGGGCAGAGCAGAGCACGTGCCAGACTGCTCGCTAGCCCGCCGCCAGCGGCATCGGACGCCCGCCGACAGAGCGGCAGCGGACCGCTTCCGGACAGCGGACCGCTTCCGAACGGCAGCCGCAAACCGCGACGGACGCGTGCGGCAGGCTAGTTTGTTTTGCCGAGGCCGGCTTCCTCAGCGCGGCACCGACAACCTGCAGCATTGAGCCATTAGCCAACGCCAAATCGAGCTGGGGTACTCCGGCCAGTGCCACAGGCACGTGGAGGGTGGAGAGCTCTCCACCGCGTCGAGACCAGTGTCTGACGTAAAATGAATTTTTCGGGCAACGCACAGAAAGCGCGGGAACAGACGAATGGCCTGCATTGACTACGTGCTTGGCTAACAAAAGACCTAAGCATATTTGCAGCGGATACAGAGTTATGTCTCGACTGACCATTGTGGGCAAATAAGATCCCAACCCTGTGCAAGCCTCAACAATGGCCAATAATGTTTTAATGAGCACTGTTAAAAGATCCATTGATTTTTAGGGATCATCAAAATGCCCCACCGTTAAAACTGATTGCAGGCATGTTCAGTGCAAATGGATTTCAGGTTCCATATTAGCCCTTAAGCTGATCCACCAGCCTGATCACCTTCATCTCTCAAGGAAGGAGAAATGACGACAAATGAAAGATCTTCGCGCGCAATTGATGCTGTCAAGAGACGTATTTCACTCGCCTGAACAATGCATTTCTAAGCTGTACCCTCTACACACTGGCATCCTATGCCCAATGTAAGGCGACCGATCCCCGGCAAGCATGATTCAGGAACCCGTCTTTCGGCTCTGTTTCGACATTATGTCAAAATAAATGTGGCGGATGGCGGCGTGATTCATTATCGCAGCCACATGTTCCTTCCGTCCCGTGTCTTTTATCAGCATAATCAGGGCGTTCTGGGGCGCAATCTCAGTGCTCATCGCCGCCGTAGCTCCGCCGCGGGCCGCGACGGGTGGGCAGCTCCGCCGCGGGCCGCGACGGGCGGGCATAATCCGGTCCGCGGAGGCCCGGCTTCAGGGGCGACAGCTGCGCCCGGTGGGTCTTACGGCCGGGAGTGATGCCCGCTGCCCGCCGCCAGCTGGCCGCGCGCGCGCGCGCGCGCGTGGGAGAACCCACCACTAAATTGGGGGAAACAGACCGGTGTAATTAGATGATCGCGTGGACGCGGCTGGGCCTTAATTTGAATATGCGAGGGAAAGCCTGCTTTGGAAACAGTGGGCAGACGTACACTCAGGAATGGCATGACCTCTCCCCCCCCCCCCCCTCCTCCCTCCTCCCCACGAATAGATCGGCGTTTCTGTTCAGTTCATTTCGGACGAGTGCATAATGAAATTTGCATGTTTACCGCCTTCGATGCATAACCTGTGGAAGATTCGATTGCTCCTTATTGGCGCTTCTCTTGTTCAGAATAACTGTATTTTTCCAGGCTTGTTATGGGTGTTGATACGAGGCCTGGCATGTATTCAGGCCAGATTCATGAATCTAAATTCGCTAGCCTGACTCCATTGTTTGGAAATGTTCAGAGAGCGAACTCACGAGTCCAACGTTTCCCAGATGCTTCTGTTTCACGAACACCTTCCAGCCATGCATCAAGCCTTTACCGGCATGATAATGAGCTACGTGACTAACACACCATTCTATAATGGCCAGCTATTTAGTTTGATTCAAGTCATCATATGTTACCAAGTCCTGAAGCAAAGGCAAAGCTGCCAAACCCCCTCCGTAAAGTACCATGCTAATCAGGTACGGTAGTGTTAATGTGCCTCCTTCCCGTGGGGACAGGACACATGTCTGCTTAGCTTTAAGTCTTGCCGATTGTAATGCTGGTGAGCGCAGGAATGCTAAAACAAATAATAAAATAATACGCTAAAGATACACTTGCCGAAATCGCACTAACCCAACCAACCTTACCAATAGGTGCATTATTGGGAATGCACTAAACTTCGGAGTGAAACGAAACCTTGCTCTGAATGCTTTTGCTGACTCTGAAATTAGCTACTTGGAAAAGATTGGAGCAAACTTCCAGTGTTCTTTTCCTCCCACTCGCAGTTCTGACCATTCATACAGGTGTGCAAGCACACCACCCAGTCACGCGCCGCGGAGCGGGACAGGGCAAAGTCCACATCGGTTCCGTCTCTCGGTGGCGCTGACTGGGCCCCGGCGCGACCGCGGGCTCAGAGTGAGTTTCGGGACAGGCGCGGCCGCAGGCTCAGAACACGTCCCGGGACCGGCACCGCCTCGAAGTGGGGCGACTCGTGACCGTCGGATGGGCAGGCCAGCGAGGACGCCGTGGACGGCTGCTCCACGGAGCCGCTCGGCCACGGCTCCTCGCGAAGCCGGCGCCGGCACGGCAGCGGCGCCGCGATCGGGGGGGGGGGGGGGGCCTGTTTTGACAGCCCGCTGGAAGGGCTCAGGGAGACCGGCTTGCCCCGCTGACTGCGCCGCCAGTCAGCTGACTGCGCCGCCAGTCAGCGGACGTCTCATCAGCTGAGCATCGCCGGGCTCCGGCGATAACGCTGAAGGCGCTTCAAGTAACGTCAGCAGTGGTGTTGCAGATTATCACGCAAGCTATAAAAACAGCAGCAGTGCTACTCTGTACCTAAGAGCTCAACAATGGATTGAACATTTTGCAAAGTATCCCATAGCAGCCGTCCGGTGCTGCGTAGATGTCTTGCGATAGTGTTTTACGCAAATCACCTGCAACTTTTTGCCTGCTAAATAAGTGCTGAGACTGGATGATTGCGGAATATAGCACAAAAAGCAGACGTCGTAGTAAGTGTGCTACATGAGTCTTACTTAACCCAATAACAGAGTGCAAGAATGACATTTGATGCATCACGCTATCCGAGGGCAGAACAGCACGCCTGTTTCACTCCGCGTCCTTCACGTGCTCGTCGGCCGAGGACGCGGCGCGAGCGCGGAGGCGACGCCGCAATCGACGCCTGCCGTCTGAGGACGTGCGTGGCCGGGTCAGTGACCCTCGTGACGCGTCCCCGCCCCAGTCACGAGCGGCGCGCCGGTGCGGTCTGTCGGCGCAGAGACGTGCGGAGCGCGCCGCCGGCCCGGCCGGCCGAGCCCGCACGGCTGCGGCTGCCGACCGCCGCCGAACGGTCCCGTGCCGCCCACCGCCGAGCACAGCCTGCACCTCGCAGCGCCGCCGCGAACCAGGAGCAAGCCTCTGGATGCCGTGATCTATGTGCGGTCGGATACTGATCGGTATCTGGCCATCTTGCCATGTACTGATCCCATTCGTTGATTGATTGCCATCGATTTGATCTGCTCGGTGATAGCAAAGCCCATAAACGGGTAATCTTAGCTGTCTTGGTCATTGACCGTTCAATTCCTCTCATGCCGTGAACTCTGATCTCGCAACACCTGACGCCGTGACCTGGACCCCTGGCGTGATCACCCGTGAACTTGGCCGTGCCGCACCTGGCAGTGCCCTTAGCGGGCAACGTTATCGCAGGTCCAATCAGCAAACGCACAGCCTCATTGGAGATATGAACGAGCTAGCAAGGTAAAACACATAGCAATAAATCAAGCCAACACGCCCTTTTGGCACGATTTAAACATACTCTGAGCTCTACGGAACAAACGGGTCGTTTCCCACCGGAGACAAATTTACGGCCCATTCCGTTTCTGTGTAATCAGCTGACTGCCCACGGACGGGTCATCGCGCTTGACCCGGGAAAAGCAGCCAGCATACTGATTGCTGCGCAACATACCGCGGCGCCCACTGCTGCGGGCAGGGAAAGCTGTTGTTGAACTTTGCGTTAACTTCCTCCGAGTACGACGTCACGTAGGCTGTAAGGTGTCTTCGGGGCTTCTGGCAGCTATTATAGACCGCACAAAAAGTTCCCTCAGACGATTAAGAGCGGTGGAAAACACCAATCAATAGACCACAATCGATCCAACAATCTGCCATCGGCGCACGAAAGAGACGTCCCTTCTGATCGCTCCTCAAACCAGTCTACCCACTACTTGAGCTTACAGTCGCTGGACTGTAAGCTGACAGCGCAGCGCCCCATCTCCCACGCTCCGACACCCTGCCCGCACCATGAGCCCCACCACCCGGCGCCGCCCGTGCCATGAGCTACCTCAGCCCGTCACCCCGCGCGCCGCGTGCCGTGCGAATCCCACCCGCAGTACGTCCATGTCGCAACGGCGTGGGCCGAACGCAGCGAGCGCGCGCGCGTGCCCAGGCCGACGTGTCTGAACAATGGCTGCTGATGAGCCCGGGCCGGGGGCCGCGCCGGTGGCCCTGACGGCCGAACAGACGCCCCGAAGCCACGGTCTGGCGATAAACGGCGGCTGGCCGAGACGCCGGCTTTCAGAGAAGCATCGCCCACCGCCGCAGCCGCCTTTGCCTGCCTGTGTGCGGCGTGGCGACACAGAACCACCGATTTGGATGTGTTCTCGAAGCGGTGCCTGGCCTCGGACAACAAGCACCTTTGTCTTCCAAGGCCGTAAAGGTTGCCCAAGGAGTGGAATTTACAGAGCGGGCACTCAGGGCATCGTTTACACGTTGAGGTAGCTTGTTCGCGCTGGTGTAGTTAAGAATTAGCATGTAGAACGAATCTACTGGGGCAACGGGAGCCCGTCTTATGCAAGAACTGTAGCGGGTCACGAAAGATGGGTGTCATTATTTCCAACATATCGCAGAAATCGCACATTTCTGATAATGGTATGGGCACTCCAAGGCTACTGTGAGCAAATATCGTTATTCATATGCGTTACTTGTTCCACCAGACCACATCACTGATTTGTAGAGGCACATTCGTGTATGTGAACGCTATATTCGTGAACGTAAACGTTGGCCAAATGATAACTTGCGGGAAATTCGCTGGTCTCCTTAATAATGCACGACGAGCCGGATGACTGCCACCCATTTTTTGGCATGCAAGAACGCGTGATACCGGTTGCCACCCAGCTGGGGCGCACGGCATCCTCTCACCTTCGGCGTCCGGCCTGTTCCCTGCGGGCCACGTAGAGCAGCACCTGCCCCGACCTGACCGACTTGAACACGACCACGGCCTCCGCGTGCGACAGTCCCTGCATACTCTCTCCGTTCACCGCCAGGATCTCGTCCCCTGGAAACGAGGGCGACACTTTATCTCAGCGGACGACGTCTCAGCCTCACAAGAACGCCATCAAACCGGCTGCTCCCACAGTTAAAACACCGGAGTGGTCGCAGCGTTGCCCTGGAAAGCGTGAGACGAAGATCGAGACGTTGCGGTCAATGCGTTACGGACTGAGGGAGCCGGCTCGAAATGAGAAGAAAGGCGGGATCGTGGGAAGATAACGACGCGGCGGGGAAGTGGACCCATGCAGCCTCGGTGATTCGTAGATCTTAGCTGTGTAGCCTTACCTTCAATCAATTTGCCGTCCTCTGCCGCTTGGCCATTGGGGAACACCGTCTTGACGTAGATGCCCATGTTGCCCTTGGGGGAATCTCTGCCGCCCACGATGCTGAAGCCCAGGCTCTTCTTCCCAGCTCCCTTCTCGAAGGTAATCGTCAGCAGGGAGGTGATCAAGGACTTGGGTCTCCGGGACGCTCCCGATCCGGATGACCTGGCACCTGACCTCTGGTCATGGCGCCTGCGCAGTAACTCGCGCACTGACGATACCGACTGGATGCTGGAGACGGAGTACCCCGAAACGCCGGAGAGCACCGACTCTGGCCGCTGATGCTCTTCCGTCTCGGAGGCGTCACACAGCTCGGAGCCAGTGGCCGGGTACTCGAGCGAGTCATCCGGGTCATCGGCGTCGTCTCGTGCCGCCGCCGCTCCGCTGCTGTCCGGCACAGAGATGACCACCACGTGCTGGCCGGCCTGCTGCTGGCTCAGTCGGTCCGGGTTGAAGTCCCGGGCTATGACGATGTCCAGTTCGGGCGAGGGGTCGCGCAGGATGTCCAGCACCGTCTCGAGGGTACAGCCGCGCAGCCGGCGACCGTTCACGTTCACTATCTCGTCGCCCACCTTGAAGCGCCCGTCCCTGGGAACAGAACAGATCAAATGACGCAGGCATAACTAATCGACATGGTTCTATAGCACCGTTCGAGGCCGTTATTTGATTCGTAACTTTTCAAGAATAACGAGTGAATCCAGGTTGACTTTACCTTGCAATGGCGCCGTTGGTCTCCATCTCAGCGATAAGGTAGCCGTGATGGACGTTCCTAGCAATGAAGATGCCCAGCGAGTCGCCGTCCGCCTTCAGGACGCGCAGCATCTTGAACTGTTTGCTGGTGAAGTCGGCCGGCAGCGAGGGCAGCGACGGCTGACTGGCCAGGCCGCCGTTCGTCTGTCCGATGTGACCTGTGGAGCGGGGCCGGGCCGGAGGGCGGCCCGTCTCCCGCGGCTCGCGCGTGCCCATCCGGATCCGACCGCGCGTCGGGCCGCCGCCGTCGGCCGGGTAGCCACCGGACGGCGTGCGGTAGCCCTCCTCCGACCGGAGGTGTTGATAACTTTCCGAGTGGGCACGCAGATCGGCCGTGGGCGTTCGTCTGGCGTAGAACAGGCCCGAGTCGCCATCGGCAGAGTTGGCCAGGCGCTCGTGCAGACCCAGGTCGGCGTGCTGCCTCCGTACTGTGTCACTGCGGCGCACCGGAGACAGAGTTTCGCTGTCGGACAGTACCTCATCGTAGTGCGCCCGGTCCCAGGGCAGCGACGTCTGCGTGGAAATCTCGGCCATCTGGTCCCGCAGCAGCGACTTGCGCGGAGGCTTGGTGGGCCGACTCTTGTGCGGCGTGAACTTCCTCTGCGGCGCTGGCGGCTCGGCGACCAGACAGGTCTCGTCGTCGGCTCCGTCCCGGAGCAGCCTCATCTCTTTCGGCTGCCTCAGGATGGTACCGTTGCCCTGACTGGCGAACGGGGAGTCGTCACCGTCCTGCACCTCAGGCCCGGGAGAGCCGGTGGTGATCTGGACGGCGCCCGCCGAGCCGGCTCTCTCGCACGCGCCGGGACGCGGCCCCCTCTGCCGCAGCTCCTGACTCGACACCTTGGCGCTGTCGTCACTGGACGCGCTGTGGACGCTGATTCTGCGAGTGCTGCCGGGAGGCGAGTCCTCGCTCCGTCGCGTGCCATCGCTGTCGTAGCCACTCTCGGTCGAGCAGACGTGGTTCACCGGCCGCTTGTCCACCGACGGCACGGCCTCCGACACACTGATGACAATGTTCCCGACGCTCCTGGCGCCGCACTGGGCGCCCGGGTGGATCGCCCGCTGATCCACCTCCTGTCCACCCAGGTGGTGGACCAGAGGAAGCTTCCGCTTGGCCGGCTCGTAGCTCTGCTGGGCCCGCCTGGTGCGCCCCTCCGCCAGGTGGCCCTCGTGACTCCGGGAGCGCACGTCTCCGATGGTGACTTTCCGCCTCAGCGTGACCACCCCAGGCTCCTCCGGAAGCACGGACAGGTGGAAGCGAGGCCCGTCCGGGACGGCGATGCTGCCCTTGACTCCCATCTCTATGATGTTCTCGCAGCTCATCGTCTTGGTCGGAAGGTAGGTCGACTGGCTCCAGGCGGCCGGCGCCTTGCAGTGCTTCCTCAGCTCCTTGAGGCTGGGCAGGATGGTGTGCAGCTGGCTGGTGGAGGCGCTCTTGTAGAGGCTGATGCTGCGCTTGACGGGCCGCGCCGGCCGCGGCGCCTCCTCCGCCTCCTCCAGCGCGGTCTCGGAGCCGCGCCGCTCGCGCTGCTCCGCGCGCCGCGCCACCGCCGGCCGCCGCAGCAGGTTACGGATGCTCTCCACGCGGTCCACCTTGGTGCGCCGCTCCGACCGGAGACTGTTCGTCTCGGAGTCAGGATCGGAGACACGCCACCGCCGCCGGCCCGAGCTGGGGCCGCTGATCTGCTCGCTGCTGCCTGACCGGGTCAGACGCGACAGACGGCGACCCACGCGGCGACCCCAGGTCGACCCATCTGAAACGGGGGCACCAGTCACCAGCGAACTTAGTCTGCGGTGTGGACGGATGGAACACGTCTGGCGTGGTGCGTGTGCGCACACACCGGCGGCTGTTACATAGGGCTAAATGAGGATTGCAGGGGTCGTGTTGTGCGACTCGGTAAGGGCTCTGATCTGAGGTACGTTTTGTTTCTGCTGCGTTACCTCGTAAGCTGGAGATAGAATAAGAAATTAAAACCACGATACCGTCATGCCATGGTTTGCTGCTGATCCGATGATACTATTTGTACCGCTTGTTTCTGCTTGGGGAAGGCAAACAGCCGTCTATGATGCATGTTTGCTTTAAGCATGTCCAACAACATGCAGCGCAGCTCAGCAAGCGAGACATATTAGGCAATAATTTGTGAAAGTCGAGCTGCACTGAGGACAGGCTCTCACATGAACATAATCTAGTGCGGGATATAATTCCCATGCAACAATAAAACTCGACCACAGCTGACGATAGCAGCGGTAAGCCGTGGGCACGCTGGCTTCCCTTCACGTACGGATGTGCCCTGCGGCCGCGCAGCTCTCAGAGCTCGGACGGACTCGATGAGTTTGATCGGCTTGAGCGCCCAGTGACCCAGTGCGGTGCGGTCAGCGGCTGGGAAAACACGCCCGCGGCGTGGGTAGGGCTCACGGTACGCAGCCCATAGGAGTCCGGTAGTAAACGAACGCGCTCCGACTTCACGCGGCCGTCTTCCCAGCCTGGTCGGCTGTTGAAGCCGCCGAGAGGGGAGACGCTGACGGCCGCCAAGGTCCGTCCGACGATCCGTCACTCCCGTGAAGATGGCATTCGCCGCGCGTCGCCGCTCGCGCCGGCCGAGCGTTCCCGCCGCGGCCGTCGGTCTGGTTCAATGGACCGCCACGCGCCCCACGCCGGTAATTACTTAGCATACGGCTGGCCATGGCACCAGACGCCGCTCAGAGCAGTGAACCCATCAATCAGAGCGGGCTGGGCCCGGCTGGCCGCGGGACGCGTCGCCGCGGGGGGTCTCCCTGCTGACCGGCGCCGACGGAGCGGGGGCGGTGCTGAGGAGAGCGCCGCGGCCCCTCGTGGGCGGCCGCCACGCTCGGTATAGAGGGCGCTGCAGATGTGCTCTTTGCAGTCGCCGCTCTGCAAACGGACAACACGCGGACATGCTGGCATTCGGCATATTGGTGTACGTGGTTCGCTGTTTGGTCGTTTATTTTTGCTGGGAGCTATTTTTCCTGGTAACTTAACATTCCGCTGTACAAAATGTGAGTACGCCATTCTGATTCTCAGTTCATTTAATTTGCACGTGTGCGAATCGACAGGAACAAAAATCATCGCATCCTATCTTGGTCTTCGTTGCAACGCCACAATGTAAATTTGGGGCCTCGATTGGTATCCCGCAGTGCACAACTTGTCTTCTGTGGAGCCATCGTGGATGTGTCAACGGATCGATGCCGGCTAATTCATTCTACCACAGCGTAGCTACCCAAACTGCTTCTAAACGCATCACACAATGGACTAGCGCCGCTCAGCCGGCGAGAGTCGGCCGATCCCGCCGGCCGGGGCGGAAGCTGTGGCGGAAGCGAGTGGTTTCCGGTCGTCAGCCGGCGGGCGGGCGGGCGGGCCCGCGACCCTGCCGCGGCCGCCAGACGGCCCGTCCTCGCACCACCGCCGGAGCGGGCACAACGAGCTGGCCGTGCCGACAAAAAGCGCCCGCGTGAGCACACCCGGCGGCTCCCGGGATGACACGGGACGACAGGCTCTGGCGACCGCTCGACGGACCGGCACGGGCCAGGCCACACGAAAGCGGTCACATTTCCCAAAATGCCTATGTCGACCGAGTTTTGTCCTTTTTTGTCAGAAGTAATGTGGCGCGGGATTCTCTACGGTTCAGTCTGTCGGTATCACTACGACATCAATGTCGCAGCCGAACCTTTTGTCACGTCCTTGTTGGAAGGCAATCGTTGAAGTTTTGGCCCGATAGGGTTGAGTTTGATAAACAAGACACAATAAAGCCTGTCACGATTTCTGTAAAGGGTGTTTTCGCTCCTAATCGAACTACACATGAATATGTTCTCCATGGACGGTAGCATGTTCTCCATGGACGGTAATATGTTCTCCATGGGCTGTAATGTGTTCTCAATGGACGGCAATTTTTTCGCCACGGACGGCAATGCGATATTTCGACCTGATTGGGACAGAGCCTATACTGGTGCACAGTCTGGCGTCACAAGGCGCCTTGCCATCGATCAGGTGCCTGCAGGGTGATCTGAATGGCCCGACTCACGGCCTGGAATGTCTAGGCAGCAGCCAGAGCTAAGCCCCGCCAGCGCTGGGCTACACCCGGCTCAACCTGACAACATTGCATTGGTGTATATGGAGGAAAGGTTGATATGCTGTCTGTTTTTGTCTGCTTGCTCTTTTTACCATTTTATGCCATGCCTTGTGTACGTGACCAAATGCTGACAGTCCAAAATTTTGGGCAGACACGATGGACACGATAGACAAAACTTAACATAAACGTAAAGATAAGAAGACCGGAAGCACGCAAAAGCTGTTTACCGACACGTAGCATACCGCACGCGCCTGCGGTGTGCTAAAATCGGTTTTCAGTGCAAGGTTTTGAGCAGGGCCCCCTCCCCGCCTTCTACCGTGAAATCCTATGTACGCCCCTGCCCGGAACAACCATAGCCCGCCGAAGAAACGAGCCTTGCCGCTCAAAGCGGCACGAAAACGCAACGAGCGTGGCGAGCACGACAACGCCGGCTTCACAGACGGCCGCCGTCTCGTTCGCCCCGTCACAGCGCTGCAATCCATCAGCTCTTACCGAAGACGCTCTGCGGGCGTGGGACTCGGCCGCGCCGGTCTCACCGTCCGGCAGTCAATCAGCGCCGCGCGCCGCCCGCCCCATGCCCCGGATGAGATGAGCGTGAGACATTCGAACGCCGGCCGTGATTTACTCGCGGCCCGCGGTCGTCTCTCTCTCGTTCAGTGCACCCATCGGCCGGCGGAAGAGGCGCGCGCTCAGCTGCTGAGCTGTGAATGCCGCTCTGCAGCAGCGGGCCGCGCTGCGACCCGCCGACCCGGCCGGCTTTCAATGCATATTTATGTGCGCTGCAGAATTAACTGGTCATGGTTGTGCAGTTTCGCCGGCCGCTATTAGTCGCGCGGATGTGCGCGCCATGAGCGGCGGTCTCTCGGGCGTTCTCCTTGGGCTGGCTCGGAGCCGACCGCACAGTTAGACGGCTGAGAACGTGACAGTGGCGTGAGTGACGGGTGACGCCTCGCCACGACAGCTAGGCGTATAAACCAGCGTGCCAGCTCGGGGAGGAAGCAGCTCTATCCTGAATGAACATTGTCTCGAGCCGTACAGAAGCTTTCAATATCTGCATTACGAAATACAAACAAATACGCAATCGCTTTGGATAGGGAGACGGCGCGTTGCGAAAGTACGAAGGATGTTAACGTTACGCTAAAATGGGATTAAACAGACCAATAGCCAACATTCTCGAGAGCTTTCGCACGTACCCAAAAGAATCGGGTGCTTCTGACACACGATCGGCATGACCGAGTGACGCACTCCCACGGACGCCTGGCGCGTGCGGCATCGCGCGCCGGGCGCGGTGGGACCGCGGGACATGTCACGACCCAGCGTTGTGACAACACGCGGGCGTCGGGAGCGCCGCAGCCACGGCCGGCGCGTGCCGGGGGCCGCACCTGTGCGCGTCCCGCGGCCGATGCCCGGCGATAGGGCGGCTTTCTCGGCCCCGCAGCCGCGCGGCGGCGGCGCACGGACGCCAGGTCAGCCGGCGCCCAGCCGCCGAACTCGGCCTCCGTGGTCCACCCGGCATGTCGGACTGGAGCACGGAGGTCGAGCGAAATACGGACGGGAGAGAGGGTGGGTGGAGGAGAGGAGCGAAATACGGACGGGAAAGAGAGGGAAGGTGGCGGAGAGGAGCGAGATAGGGACGGGGGGGGGAGAAAGAGGATGGAGGAGAGGAGCGAAATACGGATGGGAGAGAGGATGGAGGAGAGGAGCGAAATACGGATGGGAGAGAGGGTGGAGGAGAGGAGGATATGAAGTTATATCCTCACGGTAGTCAGTTATTGTGCTCAAGAGCGAAAACAGTGCGGCTCTCTTTTTTGCGCTCTAACAACATGTGAGCTGCATGAAAAATAAAATTGCATGAATAAGCATGGGCGTGAATGGAGAAAGAGGTGGGGAGAATGGATTTCACGATGTGGGTGAGAGAAAACGAAAACTATGTCTTTTATGTCACGGACGATTCCTTTCTATTTGCTGGTGTACAAACCTAAATATTAGTGGGCAAACTCTCAGTGGAAGCATGATCACGTTGTTGGACGAGCTATTTTACACTGATGCGACACTGTTTCCCCAATATGGTGGTACTACTTTGAATACAATATCAGCAAACTGTGTCGTCTGAGCTGAAGCACGGTGCTGACACTGTTCGCCGATAGCGCGGCCGGCTTCTTCAGTAACATTGTGGTTAGCGTTTTTCACCCCGTCATTGATATCCCACACTTCTTTATCGGTGTAATTACACAGTATGATCACCATAAACGGTGCTATGCGATCGCAGACGAGTCAAGCATGACACGTAACGGACTATTTGTAGGGTGTGGCCTTACCTTTGCGATGCTGCTCGTCGGCCGATATGTAGATGATGGAGGGTTTGATGAGGGGCGGCGCTGTGGGGTCCTCCGGGTCACCACCCTCCTCCCGCCGGAGGGGCGACAGGCTGACCAGCTGGGGGGCCGAGTCGGACCCCCGACGCCGAAACAGGCGCATCGCCACACCTGCAGCCAGAGCAGAAGGAGAAGGTTACGGCCAGCTGGGTTGAGCAGACGGCATATTTCGAGGCCACATCACCCGTTTGCCTGATCTGTTAGCGACGAATCCACGGTAAAACATATCGCAAAAAAACCTTTCCGCTCAAGCTGTTACTCTTAACGCTGAATAACCGGCCATGATCGCTTTGTCCAGAATCAATGTATTCTGTGCTTTTGTAAAGCGCAAGTTGGAAAAGAGAAAACAAAAGTCAGGTTACTCTCAACTGCTCGATCATCATGAGCAGGTCAACGTTGCACGATTTATCAAGAAAAATGTTATAGATAGTTATCATACATAGTCACACAGTTAGATGTCATCATACGTTACGGCGTTTAGTGACGCGATGCCCTCCACCGATATATTTAGCGTCGCACCGTCCTTTACCGACAAGAACGAAGACAAAATGTCGACTGTTAACCAGTTTCAAGCACAACGGTTAAGCGCCACAAGCTAGGCAGAACCAACTGTGGGGCATATCCCCACGAATACTCTCCGCCAACTGAGGCTATGACATCTAAAATCGCGCGCTCGTAAAAGGATTAAAGAATTGGTGTTTAAGGCGTCTCCTAATTGCACTGGCAGCTTGAGCGAGAAGGCTCTGACACCGAAATGCACTTGTTCAATCTGAGCAAAATTCGAATACCCGAAATGCTGCCAAACTGCTAGCCTACCCATTGCATTCTGCTGTAACGATATGACCTAAGCCGCTGTCATAACACAGCTGCATCATGTGGTAATTCGTACTTCGGCCAAAACTTCCGAGATTTTTTAGAAAGGCGTAAAGAGAAACTCACGGCGACAAAAATTTTCTGACGAATAAGGGACTCATGCCGGAGCTTTTAAATATTTAACTCCAAAGAATATTTTGGCGGCCCACTAAAGGCTTTTAGTGGGACTGAAACCGCCGAACACAGTTAGATATGCAAAAATGCTTGCACGTACACTGTACCAATCCATGCGGTGTCTCTGTTGTTTGTGCCAAGAGATTTACCATTGTGCTGCAACAATCCAGAAAAGTGTATGCCTTGACACGGGCCGCATGGAAAGTCTGTATCGCCTGGTGTTGCTATCGTCATGGCAAAGCTTTGCTCTGTGGCTAAACGACCAAAGATGAGCCGTGGGGGATGCAATATTAAGGAGCTTGAGACTTAGCGGAGTTCGAGAACTTCCTTTTTGGAAAAAAAACTTGGCCCTTTTTGGAAAGGCCACTACCTTCAACCCATCCATTAACAGAACAATGCTAGAACATCAATGTTGGACCTGATGCTATACTTCTCGCTTGTAAACGGCATTCCGTTCCGTTACATCTCTTTCAGACAGCAGCTCTCCAGCACAATCGTGTGATGCATCGACATCGGTTCAATAGCTTCGGTTCTTAGTTCATGCTTGAGACTGTGGGGTGATGGTAATAGTCAATTCGAATTCCTCCGCAGAAGCGTAAATAACAGGCGGCTGTCCATCAGACATCAGAAGGGCGTTATTAGCCAACCGTAAGTGCCTCTCAGCCTCACACGTCACCGCCCACCGCCGGCCGAAGAGCTCCCGGTCCTGCGCCTGTCGTCATGGCACGTGGAGCCCAGGACCCGCCGCAGTATCGGCCGCCCTAGCACCGGCCACTGCTGACCTGACCCCTGCCTTCTGCACCGTCTACTGTCGCTGGACAGGCCTCGATCCAAGCCTGGCCGGACTCAACAGTGAAGCAACACGAGAGGTGACAGCGGTGGGACTGCAACAAGACCGCGGGAGTGTGCCTGCGCGTGGATTGTTTGGAAGCAACATACCTGTAATGAGAAATTATGAATGTAAAGCGGGATTTTAGTGGTATTCCAGTGCGCAATTAAGCCACTCCGCGGCATGACATGAGACTTTGCAGAAGGCCCTGTGAGGGAACGCCGTCAGCGGCTGCCACTGATCCGCCTGGAGGCATTGTGCAATGTGCACCCGTCAGCGCAGATTGCAAACAAAAGCGACCAAAGTGGTGACGTCATCAGCCGGCAGCCACGAACTCGCTGCTTCCGGCAGCAGGTGGTGGTCCGTGCGGCTGGCGGCACTTCTCCACCGCCTTCTCCGCGTCTGGCACGCCACGCCAGCCGCAGCCGCCGACCACTGCCGGCCCGTCGCCGCAGAACGGGTGGCGGTGAGCCAACCCCTCCCGCTTCCCGAGGCGCCAGGTTCGCACGCGCGCAGGCGGGGTGGGTCGGAGGTCAAGGCCCAGGGCGGCGGTGGCGCGCGCGCGAGGCCGCTGACGGATAAGGGCGGGGAGGTGTCGGTCGGCCGGACCGGTCCTGGGCGGAGTTGACACCTGACGGACGGACCGGGGGAGGCCGATGAATAACGACACGTGCCCGCGACGGCAGCCGGCAGTAAAATACCATATTGGACTTCTGTTTCAGCCTCCATGAGTAGGGGCTCGCCAGAGTAAACAATCACAAAGGACGGGCGACGGCGAAATGGATGACCGACCATCTCGCGTCAAACACAAAAGAAAATAGATTTGTTACCGGGAGTGAAAAATTGGAATGTGAGCTCGCATGGATTCCTCGTTCAGCTGTTCAAGTTTTGAATGCATTTATGGAGTGTGGCGTGATAGAACACACGACCTTTCGCTTTTGTTCTTCCCGAAGGGCAGTGAGGAAAAGAAGCGAAGAGGCGTGCCAAATGTTCGAACGAAATAGTCGGAATGTTTTGACGCGTGTTTCGAACAAGGCTCACCGTAAGCACGCAATCATTGTGGAATGGTGGTTGTGGCAATAGCAAAGAAACTTCCCTTAAAGCCGACATTTTACAGTATACCGTCCACGGAGCTTTGTTCCAGCAGCCTTGCCACAAGAGAGTTTCTTAACATTGGCCATTGACGCCATTGTATCTCAGTGAACTGATCCTTTCTTGGCAGCATCTTACCTCCCGTTTAAAGCCCCATTGGCCACAAACATGCATGAGATTTGCCTTGTAAAAAGGCCGTCAGGTTAAGACTGGAAAAAGACGGGCTATCGCAGTCATCATGGAGTCTGAACAACAGCGGACCAAAGGAGATCTTGATAAACAAAACATTACCCATGGCACGGAACGGAACATCCAAACAACGGAAAGCCAGAACAGTGCTGACGGTTTCGAAAGAGCTTGTGTGGCAACACTCAGCGGTGGTGCCAAAAACACACATCGCGCTCGTGCCGGGTCCGAAACGGTGTCGAATTACCGTTCAGGGGCAGGGGAGGTGCCCATCTCGACGGGCCGGGTCAACCGGGCACAATGGGGGGGTCAATCGGGCCCCGGGCGTGTTTCGGCGCAGCGTGCCGCATCCGCCACCGCGCCACGGGTGCGGCCTGCGGCGTCCGTGGCGCACCTGCCACACGCTCGGTCCCGTGACGGAGACAAAAACGGCGCGGTCGGTTCATCAGCCGGCGGCGACTGACGCAGAGCGGCGGCCGGTGGCCAGCTCGTCAGCGGTGCGGTGCCGAGTGGAGCGAGCCGGCGCCGAGGCGGAGCGAGCGGAACGCCGGTGACAGTCGCTGAATGCTGTCTGGGTCTGTGAGCCGATGACTCGACTGCCTTGCAGAACGGCGCACCACCATGACGACTGTCTGAAGCGTACTTACTAAAGCTCTGCGAAACAGTGAACGTCTGCAGGTTAGAGTATGCATGTAATGCAATTAAGATTATTTTTCGATTAATGGGTCTGACATCATGTTTCACTTCAATGTATATCGTTGAATCTATGCCTGAGTCATTCACCATTCCATGACTTGACGATAAGCATCGAAATGTCTGTGTTTACTTTCCGATGATCCGTGTTCGCATCTCGGCAGTCGGAGGCCTAACCCTGCAGTTAGTGGATCAGGTGAGTACAGCAGGAATGCAGCGCATTGTGTGTTATCGCGCTGGAATCAGAAGCAGCACAACGCCGGACAATGACGGTGGGACGCTCTGTTGTGGCAAAGGCGGATACGGCGAGCCTGAATTAAATGCCCGGCCTTGGCGGACCCTGAAAAACCTGGCCGTGATGGACCTATTTGCGCCACCAGCGGTCTGATAACACGCCGGGGTTTCGCCGCCGCAGCCACGGCCTCGCTTCCCACTCTGTTGTTGATGTTCCCCTCCGCCAAGCCGTGCACGCTCGGCCACGGCGGCGTCGAGAGGCGAGAGCATCACACACACACACACACACACTTGGACAGTTAGCTCCGGCAGAGCGGCGGCCGGCGGCGCCATAAATCGGCTCTCGATCGACCGTAGAAAGAATCATAAAGGCGGAGATTGCGGCGTGGCCAGGCCGCCGTTTCCGTTAATGCTGTATTTCACGCCCGGCATGTGTCCACCGGCCAGTAATGACCGGTGGTGAGCAGACACCGGCTCCAGACCGCACGCGGACAGGACGCCGACGTTGGCATGGCGACGCCGCGGACGGCCGGAGTCGCGGCGTTTCGGGCGCGGCCCGAACCCCCAGCTGGCGGGCGGGGTGCACGAAACGGACGGGCGGAAGCCAGCTTGGAGCGCAGGACGGGTGGGTTGAGATGGCTGGAAATCATAAGTCTCAGTGGCACGCTTAGAGGATGGACGAATCCATGGAACCGAGCGGACGTAAAATGAGACGAAGCCCTTCGAAACGGATACGAAATATGCATACAAATTGAGAGGACAAGACAGAGAGGGAGACAGACGGAGACGTACACGTACACACCGCTTCAGTGATCAAAAGGGGGACCTAGCCGGACAGCACGACCCCAGTCAACGCGGGACGAGGCGGAGCGGTCCGCCACCACCGGGGGAGATTCTGCCCAGTCAGCACGTCACCGTGAACTTCTGCCGCGCTCGGCACCGTGAACTTCTGCCGCGCTCGGCACCGTGACGCCCCGTCCGATAGGCAATCCCCGACGCCGACGCCTCCCGTAAGCTGAGTTGCGTAATGACGTCGGCGTCGTGACATTTAATGTCCCCGGTAAACATGGGCCTACACCACAGACTAAGC